ACAGCTATATAGATAATTTCAGCGACACTTTGAATGGAAATATTTTTCAATATAAAATTTTTAATTGATTATTTTTGAGAGAGAGAGAGATTGAATAGATGTGTTCCACTTATTTATGCATTCACTGATTGCTTCTTGTGTGTGCCCTGTCCAGAGATCAAACCCAAAACCTTAGTGTATTGGGATGACTCTAACCAACTGAGCTACTGGGCCAGGGCTAAATGGAAACCTTTTTCCAAATTTAGAAATATCAGTGTATTATCTCTCTCTGTCGTTTTCATAGCTTCTCTTGCCTGTTGATTTACCTTCATAAAAGGGAAGTGGCCACAGGGACTAATAATGGGCCTCAAAGAGCCAGTTACTGTTTGGGTTTCCACCTCTTGCCTAATCAGAACATTTCAACCAAGCCCTTGTTCACCTTTTCCTAGGCCCCACCTAAATCTTCTGTTTAAAGCTCTGCATTTTATTCCTGTTCTCAATAGATACATGAATTGCCAACCCTAAGTCTCCTTATGGTCTCACTATCCCTCCTCTGTAGATGTCTTTTAAGACTACATAGTAGACAAAGGCCAGGAAAACAACTGTCTTCCAACCCTGGGAGCTCAGCTGGGTTCCTGGGAGCCTCAAGGGAGCCGAGTATCAGACCTTTATAACCTTGCCTTTGCCCTACCACATCCCAATATACATCTATTATTTTAGTTCCACTATTTCCTCCAGTGCTGGAGAAATAAGCCAAAGACCAGAGTAAATTAACAATAAAGGCGTAGTTCCCTGGAGACTTGAAAAAAGACGTCATTTGTTGCCTCAGTCTGGCTGCCAGTCAGCCCCTTTGATGTAAAGCATCTGTTCTCTTCAAGGAAACAAGAAAGTCTGGTTCTTCTTTCTAGCCTGTGAAGTAGGAGGTGGTGTCATTTGTTGTATGGAGCCACAAGCCCCATGTTACTGGGTTGCAAGCTGCTGACTGCCTTTGTTAACATGCTGAAAATTTCATCGGCTGTCTTTAATAAAAGAGGATGTGTGTGAGGGAAGACATCAGTTGTACTTGGGTTTCTGTTCTGCAGCCCATGACTCATGGCTGGCAGACGGCAATGACACCCAATATGTAATCAGCCAGCCAGTCACCTGGACCTCTTGCATTTCACTTATATAGCTAAGCAATCTTTAATCTGTTTGGAAACGATATATGCTCTTATTTGGTTATGAAAAGGCTTTTTAATTCCTTCTTCTGTCTAACAATATTTAGTCATGTACGACTCTGTTATTTAAAGCGTCATTTGAACACCTACTACCTTAAATAATTATATAGGCAAGAGAAGAATTCTATTTTGTGAGAGAATAGATATTTGATCTGACATACTTTGTTCTATAGGAATTTCGTTCTCTTGTAAAAAACTTCATTTTAGAAGCTGTAAAATGATATAATCTAGGATCTGGAAATGGCCCCTAGAACAGGGCTTCTCAAATTTTAATGAGCATACAGAGCACCTGGGTATCTTGTTAAAATTCAGAACCTGACTCGGTAGGTGGCACCAGAAATTCTTCATTTCTGTCAAGCTCCTAGTGATGCTGATGCCACTGCCTGAAGTATCATATTTGTAGCAAGGCTGGATGACCTGGAGGCATTCAGTGCAGTGGGCATCCACTAAGCCACCCATGTGATTGCTGTGGAGGGGAGGTATGATGAGCTTAAAAGATAAATCCCCCATCTTTGAAGAGAGAAAACAGCCTTATAAGAAGAAAGTAGTCTGTATCAAGTTTTATTCACAAATATTTAACAAACACATGAAATTGTTTATCTCAGGGTAACTGTTGACACTTTCAAAGCTGTTATGTAAGGCAATGGATACAGAGGTCACACTTGAGCACACCAGTACGTAAATTTCTTCAGTTTCCATTCATGCAAATAAGAACCTATAGTGATTTCTTAATAATCATTACATAACGTGTTCATTGATTTTTAAACTAATTTTTTTACTCTATTAAAATAGATACATTCAAACCAAAATGTTTCCTCTGAAAACAGTCATCTATTTAAAATTAGAAATCTGCTTAAAAATATTGAATGATGTTCTTAAATGTGCACATTTTTAGTTGGACTTTTATTCTTTAGGGAACACAATGAGTATTATGTGAGCTCCCATGATATCTGTTATCCTACATTAGCTTCATAATGCCAATTTTGGATTATTTTTGTTCAACGAGCAACATGCTGGTGTGAATAGTGCAAAATTAAAGTTATTCCAAAACACCATTATAATTAGCATTCAGACTCATTTTGATAATAGATTTAACTTCCTAATTGTATTTTCTTAGAATAATATTAACTTTTTTTCATCATCATTTGATGGTAGGGAGGTGACTCCAAGTATTCCAAGGACAGGAGAACCCAGGTTGCAATTTAGTAACAATAGTAAAGCCTTGGTATACTTCACCTCTTTCAAATCTCTTCCAGGTTTAACCTAAGAAAGGCTACAAAGTTAGTAAAGAACAGACAGTTTACAAATGCTCAGCGTTTGGAGTCAGGAGTCGTTCAGGCACTCTGAGAGGAGATTCTGTTGTTGTTTTTGAGATAAGGAAACAGAGAAAATTAGAGGAAAAAGACAGTCTGTATTCTCATATACTCTCAAGAACAACTCTAAGAAGAAGCACCGTTACCCCATTTCTAGAAGAAACAGGTCTTACATGCTCACTCAGCTTGTCCAAGTGCACACGTTTCTGGGGGTGGAGCTGGCATTGGCACCTGGGCAGTGTGGCTTGGTAGCCTCTGAGTGTTTTTAAAAATCCCCTTGAGTTACAGTTAGGGTTAGGTACAGACACTTTGATAATAAAGTGATTCAAGAAATAACAGCTATCCTGCAGAGCCATCTGGTTTCTCTCAGCCAGTCACTGGGCCTCTTCTGTTTCTGTTAAGTAAGGAATGGTCTCCAACCGTGGTTCTCCCTCCCCATTTCCTCTCTTCCTGCTCAGGGCAGCAGGAAGTTTGGACATTTAATCTATTTAGCATCTCTAGTAATGCAGACCGTGAACACACTTCATCAGCTTCGTAGATGTTTATTGGTAGCGATGCTAAGCTCTGTGAGGGGACATAATTCAGAAATGTTTTCAGAAATGAAACTCAAGATAACAATGGGTGGTATGATAACACAGTTGTCTTCGGAAGGCAGAGTAGGTGGTGTTATTTTAGGTTTCCAATGTGGAGCTATTCGCTGCACATGTAATTTGGAGCTATGTTTATTTGGATTGGTGTTTAAAATTAGATATTAACCATCTGTATTTTTCTTGATAAGTGTGGAGTCATCCAGACCAAAAGGGTTTTGAAGGTCAGGAATAGCTTATATTTGCAACATTATTTTTGGAAAGGATGTTGAAAAGTTGGAGAATAATGCCCAGTAGTTGAGGACTTAAGAGAATTTTGGTATACATCCAGAAACATTATGTAGCCATTGAAATAAAAATTGTAAAGTATGTACAGCAACATAAGTATCACAAACATGCATTTGCTATACCTCAAGCACAGTGAGTCCAGAGAAAGTAAACTTGACATTTGTAGAGTATTTACTGTGTGCTTGTACTGTGCTACATTTGTTTATTTTCTCTTATCTTCCTAACAATGTGCAAAGCGTTGATGTTATTTCAGTATTTCATAAATGAAGAAAACTGAGGCACAGACATATTAGGAGACTTCACCACGGCCAGGGCTGTGGCTGAGCAAGAACTCAAATCCAGATCTCTTGAAGTCCAATCTGATCCTTTTTCCCCGTTGGTTTATTCTGAGCTATTCAACCCTCTCCCCAGCATTGCCTTGGTTCAGAAATAATTGTTTTTACAGGAAAGAGTGGAGTCACATGAATTTAGCTGAAAAAATGCATGCATTGTGAAAATACTAAATCATAAAAATAATTGTGAATTATTTTAGGCGGTATCAGATTTGCCAGGACAATTAAGAGTTGACATCATCTGAAAAGTGAAACCATAATCTCAGCATAAACACTTTTAGTTTTATCTGATATTTGAAATATGCATTTATGTAACTGCCAAAATATTAGCTACTCTCTCTGTTAGCCAAAAAGTTCCAGGGACAAGACAAGAACAGCACAGCCTTTACTCATAGATAGCAAGCAAAATATTTTTTCCTTTGGGAAGGAGTTTTGTTATTAACTAATGTCCAAGAATTTTGGGATGGAACCTCTGTATTAAACTAGTGCTATATAACTCATACTTTTTTTTTTTTTTAACTTTGCCTTTCACATAATTTTGTATTGCAATTGTCACACATTACAGAAAAATCTGTTTGCAGATTACTTTGTTATTAAACAAATAACATAAAACTTATAAAGCTTCCATATTTTATCTATTTTATCTTTTTACTTTGCTATATTTATAGTAAACATTCACCATTAGAAGTTTAAAAATTGCCTTAAAAATAAGGACTTTGCCTCATTTAAACTACTTGAGCTAGATTTGGAAAGGACTTTAGTGATTGCATTTGAATTTTTTTTTCAGGGTGTTTACCCTGAAAACATCAGTAAATCTTGACAGTATATTTTATTTATTTATGTTTTTGTAAATCGCGTGGAATATTGCTAAGGAGAGGAAACAAAAAGTGGTTGGACATAGAGAGTTGTCACCTCTTCCCATTTAATTTTGTATTTCCTGGGGTCGAGTTGACAAAAAGTTTAATTCCACCCATCTGAAACTATCACTTTTTTCTCAGACAACCGCAACCTGACTAGGTTACTAGGTTTTCATATGTAACCCATTCATTCTCATTAGCTGCCTTGCCCTTTTTAAGGTACAGAATACACCACGCTGTTTGGAAAACTTTCCCCCCCCCCCTTCCTAGTTATCTTTGTCTGTTTGTATAAATTGCTAAATTGCTTCCATAAAACGCCTCCAGACATAAGGGAATCATTTGCATAAGTGCATGAAGATTTCTGCCTTCCAGGAAGGAAAGCTTGAAAGGGCCCCTTAATCGGTTTCCTTGCTCTCTCTGGTCCTAGTATCCGGCCGCGCTGATGAACCTGGGGGCCATCCTGCACCTCAACGGGCGGCTGCAGCGCGCCGAGGCCAACTACCTGCGGGCGCTGCAGCTCAAGCCGGACGACGTCATCACACAGTCCAACCTGCGCAAGCTCTGGAACATCATGGAAAAGCAGGGCCTGAAGACTTCCAAGACCTGACGCGGGGGGGCGCTGCCTCGCCCGCCGCCTTCCCGGGCGCGCTTCCCTCCCAGCAGGACTGCCCCGCGGCGCTCCGGCAGGAGCTGGTCTGGACTCCAGGACGGGGGCAGAGGTCGCAGAGGTCGCTGCCACTTTTTCCAGGAATACCCACTTTGCTGTTGGCACAGCCATGAACACCAAAAATGGGGGGAACATTGGAAAACTCCGGAAGGGTGTAATTTGTTACCCGTAGAACTAAACCAGAGCACTTAAAACAGGATCTTAAACACTGTGAGAGGAAGCCCGAGCGGCCGCTCCGCCGCCGTGAGCTGTTCGGGGCGAGTGTGCGCGGGGTGTGGTTGCCCTGCAGGGTGAATCCTGGGGAGCGGGCCGGTGGCCCTGACGCGGCTGTCTTACCTCTTTGGGACAGCTTGCTTATCGATTTCTGAAACTTCGAAAACTTTTCTTTTTTCATGCTATGTCGGGACCTGTGAGAATCTACACTTGATCCCTGACCTAGTGCACATGATGTTTTATGAGTTGGATGTCAGTCTTCACTTCCTGGGGCATCATTTGCTTTTCATGTTCTGAGAAGGATATGCAGAGTAGACAACCTGCGTTTCACACTGGCGTTGGAGGGGCTGGGGAGGCCTCCTATGTGTCAGGAGGCAGTTTTGACTTTAATATCACCAATATTCCTCCTCCCCCCGCCCCCCCAAAAAAACTGCCTAGGAGTATTCATTGTATTAATTCTTAGGCTTTTGAAATTGCCTTTGGAAATGGCGATACCCGGTTAATGCACATGCTTATATAAGGATTATATCAGAAGGAAGCTTAAATGTATTCTAGTTCCAGTAACTAACCAGCAGCTCTTAGACAAAAGGGAAGGTGCTTTGTACTTTCCAGATGTTACTGGTTAAAAAATCAAGTCTGCTCAAAAGAAGGTAGAGTGATGGTTGGCAATGACTTTATGTTTTGGAAAAAGTTAGTATGAAATGCTAATCACTTTCTAATAGGTACCAAAACAGTAATGCTGACAAGTTTTCAAGGAATTGTTTTTATCATATTTCTTGTATTTTGCTCTTCCCAAAAGACGTAAAAGTGACTTATTTTAAGCTGCGGTAGAATTGTAGCATTAGCCTGCGTGTTTCTAGGTCTTCTGCCAAGTGCTTTTTACAGTTGAAAACCATTTTTCACAGGCAAATTTGGTATTCTGTTTCATTACCTATTAGTAGCCACTTCAGCGATCATTTCACAAGTAAAAGAGTACAAATGAAGTAGAGAAGAACATTTGTTGAGCACTTTTTGACTTGCAGTCAAACTTTGCTACTAAAAATTAACTTTGTAAAAACAACAGCTCACTGTTAGCTTCTTCATAAAGTAGAAACACAGTACTCCACATATTTATTTATTTATTATTCTACCATACCAGAATAACAAAACGAAACTCAACTTATCAAGGCAATTCCTTGCAACTGAAAACTCGCTTTTTCTCCTTTACACTCATGCATGTTCCATGTATATATGGTCAGCATCCCCATTAAAGGGAAGCTGGGCATGCAAAAACATCATACTATGTTTTCTCCATATTTTATGTGTTTTTCTGCATATCAATACAGTGGGGTAAAGAATTTAAAGTAGTGTTCCTATGACATTAGTGTTTTTGTAAGAAGGGCAAATGTAGTGAGAGATTTGATGGCATTAATAAGAAGGCCCTCCTAATATGTATCGTATTTTGTAAACATTTCATTGAGGGGCCAAAAGTTAAATTATAACTAAATCACTGTGTTCTCAGAATGATATTTAACATTTAACTAAACAACAAACCCGTGGTCAAACCAAAAGTATGGGTTGAAGTGTATTTTTCATCTTCTACTGCATTGGCAATTGCAAAAAAATAAATAAGGAATTTAATATAAGGATATAGAGATGAATTCAATGTCTAACATTTTTATTTATTTAAATAGTTATTGACCTATGATGACTTCCTAGTTTTAACACTTTGTGTCTTTTTATTGTTATTGTTTTTCCTTTCAAAACACTTGGTTCTTAATAGGTTCGCTGATTGCACAGTAGAGGCACTTCATGTTGACCCAGTTCCCAAGTAGCATTAATAATTGGGCCTGTGTCATAAAATGCATGGATCTTTAATAACAAAATGTCCCTGACACCTTTTATTACAGGGCTGGGCTTAGACCAACTCGGGGGGGAGGGCTGGGGGATGCTATAGAACATGGTCAAAAAATGTCTCCGCTCAGGGATTTATGGTGGATTATTGCAGACAGTGCTAAAAATATAGAGCACAAGACAAGTTTACTAAATTAAAATTTTATTTTTTGAGAAACTGTTATTTGTATAAATTATCAAGATTTGTAGGCTTTCCTTTTGTAGAAATAATTGTTTTATGTGCCAGAGAATTTCAATTTTGTTTTCAACAATAAAGCATTGATAACAAATACGTTGTATAAGCCTTTTTTAAATCTTCTACAGCAACAACACTTATACCCTCTGGGATTTTAACAGAACTAGGAGGTAACTTTTAAAAGGTGGAGACTGAGAGTCAAATAGAGACAGGACGTGGCTAATGTATAATAATAATTATTAATTTTTAGTAGTCATAATAATAAGGGTTGCTGACATCATTAGATTTGCCATGTTTAGAAAAGATGGCATGGCCCTGGCTGGTGTGTCTCAGCTGCTTGAGCATTGTCCTGTGCACCAAAGGGCTGCTGGTTCGATTCCTGGTTGGGACACATGCCCAGGTTGCAGGCTCAATCCCCAGTTGGGGTGCATGGAGGAAGCAGCCCATGGATGTTTCTCTGTCTCTCTTTTTCTCCCTTCCTCTCTAAAAGAATCAGTAAAAATATTTTTTTTAAAAAATATATCTTTATTGATTTCAGAGAGAGGAAGGGAGAGGGAGAGAGATTTGAGTCATCCAGGATGAGAGAGTCGTCACTGATCAGCTGCGAGCCCGATGTGCCCTGACCCGGAATCGAACCACGATCTCCTGGGTCCTAGGTTGATGCTCAACTGCTGAGCCACGCCGGCCAGGCAACATTTTTTTTTTTTTTTTTAAAGAAAAGATGTCATAGTTTTCGTTTTCTTTTATATGTGAACCATAGAAAAGTAATAGAAAATATCCCAAGCAAGACCAGTTGCCTGCTTCACAGGTTCCTTGGTAAAAGTAGTCATAATTAGAAGGCCCTGATTCTCTAGTTCTGGTCCTGGAGGAAAGCACAACCCTGCTCTGCTGAGAGACGGGGGTGCAGCACATTCAGTTATAAAGAAACCTGGGGTCCTAGACAAGGGGCAAACTGACAGGTGGAGAATTGGTTAGTCTTGATAAGATTGTTGTTATATATAGCGTGATTGTATATTGCCTAATTCTTTTATTACAGAATAAAATTTAGCTATAGAGATTTTATTTTCTGCTAAACATCCTGTGGATGTGTCAGGTTATGTTCCAACTTTACAGTTAAGAAAACCAGGACTCAGAGGTATGAAATAACTTGTTCAGGTCACTAAGCCAGCAACCAGCAAGCCTGTCCCCATGTTGTCCTATGCTTGTATGTCCCCTGTCACATGAGTACTCAGGCCTTAAATTGAAGTCTGAAGATGAGGTTTTTCATTGTCCTTGGCATTTCTATAGCTATTCTGTCTTCCACAGATCACATCCTCTACCTCTCGTTGCAGATGATCATGAAGATTGGAGAGGTTGCTACCGTCTGAATGTTTATATCCCCCCCCAAATCATATGTTGAAAACCTCATGCCTATAGGTGATGGGGGAGTAGGGCAGTGATTAGGTCATGAAGGGGAAGCCCTTATGAGTGGGGTAAGTGCCTTTATAAAAGTGGTCCCAGAGAACTCTTACCCCTTCTTCCAGGTGAAGATTCAATGAGAAGTCTGCAACCCAGAAGAGGGCCTCACCCAACCATGCTGGCATGCTGATCTCAGACTTCAGCCTCGGAACTGTAAGGAATAAGTTTCTGTTGTCCATACGCCACCCAGTTTGTGTTATTTTGTTAATAGCAGTCCAAACAGACCAAGATAGAGGTAATGCATGAAAAACATTAAAAATTTTGAATGCGAAAGCCAAAAAAAATTCAGTGAACATGTAACTAAACCCATTTACTTCCCACCAGAGGAACATAAGGCCCCTAAGTTAAGTGATTTAACCAAGATCTCAAAACTAATTAGTAGCAGTTACACAACAGGCTATAAAAATATCAGTTATTAAGAGCTATTACTATATGAAGTAATCACATAATTGATTGCATTTTTAAAAATGTAAATGTTATTTTTCAGTTACAGTTTACATCCAATATTATTTTGTTTCAGGTATACAGCATAGTGATTAGACAATCACATGCTTTACAAAACTTTTCCCCTCCATATTTCCAGTGCCCAACTGGCATCATACATAGTTATTACAATATTATTGACTAGATTCTCTATGCTGTACTTTACATCCCCGTGACTATTTTATAACTGCCAATTTGTACTTCTTAATCCCTTCACTTTTTTACCCAGCTCCCCAGCCTTTCCCCCCTTTGGCAACCATCAGTCTGTTCTCTACAGCTGAGTCTATTTCTATTTTGTTTGTTTGTTTATTTTGTTCTTTAGAATCCACATATAAGTGAAATCATACGGTATTTGTCTTTCTCTGACTGACTCCTTTCACTTAGCATAATACTTTCTGTCGCAAATGGTAAGATTTCATTCTTTTTTTTATGGCCAATTGATTTTCATTTTTAAATCAAGGTGTAGTTTTAGCTTGGATTAAAACACTATGCTCTGAGACCGGTGGGGCAGGAGCCATGTCTGTCTTTCTAGGCTTATTTTCTCCTGCCTGGCACATTGGTGAATAGATGAACATAAAATACACTATAAATGAAAAGTCCATCTAATTATTTGCTCATGACCAATTTGACATTTTAAAAAACCACTTTCTACAAAGTTGTGACTTGGAGATTCAATGACTCCTTTTATTTGATATGGCCTCTCACCTCAGTGACGACAGTTTTCACGTAGTCTGCACTTCTAATACAAAGAAAGGAAATACATCTAAGTCTTGGTCATTCTTTCTCTTACAAGGAAAGAAACTGGGTTTCTGTGGATAATTTAAGAATTATAACCCAACTTACTTGTATGTAACTTTTGAAGATGATTTTTTCATTAATTTAAATATTATTGCCAATACTATAGAATTTTTTTCCTACTATTTAAAACTCAACTCAGTTTAATGAGGGGAAGTTACTAGAAAGCTTGGCTTAAGCATTGGGACAGCCACACATTGTAAAGAGAGAGCAAGGTGAACTGTCGGTGTAGTTGCGCTAACTCTGTTATGCTTAGTTTTACAATAGAGAAAGATGCATGTGTACTAGGACTTTAAACTTCTTGCTGTCATTTTGGGTGGTCTTCCTGTAGGATGCAATCAAAGGCCTTTGAATTGGCTTTCATTTCATCTGCCACTTCACCACAAATTGGCTTTTTGTTTTTGTTCCATAGTGAGTTGAGACATATCCCCCCACACACCCCTCCCACCCCAGAGTACTCCTGAAATTTGAAGGTTTTTTTTTAACTTGAAATTTCTGTGAAGTTTTTCTTCTAAGTTTCCCAAAACATCCCTCCAACTTCTTACAACTGGTCTCTGATGTTACTGTGTTATTTAATTGCCTACTTCCAAAGAGTGGAGAGAAGAGCTTTTATTCAGCAAGAAAATCCTTGGATCAAATGAGAAAGTTACGAATATGGGAGATGACGAGGTTGAAGGGTTCAGAACAGGCCTTCCAAGATGTTCGGCTTCCTCGTGTGGATTATTTTGAGCTGAAGGCAACTGAGACTCTGCAGGCTCAAGAGAATCTTCTGTTACAATCTTAACTATCTAGATTATAAATTGGGGATCTTGCCCATAAAAAGAGTTATTACCAGAGATAACTTTTTATGCCCTAACTATAGGGCAGGGCAAACTTCTAATTACTGAATATCTGTTCTTATCTTCCTACAAATTTCTTCCTCTCCTCTGAAACCCCTGGCATCCTACCTTAGCCGTTAACTCATGTGCCATATATATCTCATTTGACCTTTCTGTCGCTGAACTTTTCATGCATATGGGGGTCTTTGACTATGTCATGTGGAGTTCTCGTATGTGTGTAATTAAATTTGGTTACTTTCTCTTGTTACTCTGTCTCATGCAGATTTAATTAGACCAGCTGAAAGATTCTGGAAAGGGAGTAAAAAATGCCTTTCTTTCCCACAAGGTCATTAAAAAAATACTTACGGGTATCTGAGAGGTTAATGTAATATCTAAAATGGTATTTGGGAAAAGCTTCTGGAGATTCCCAAAAGGAGAAAAATAGATGCATGGGGAATGGACTGTTAATTGCCAGTGGTAATAATTAAGTTTATGTTGTGGAGGAATAGGATTTGATTAGAACAATTTGAGACTGTGTCCTTCTTTGTTACCCGATAACCTGCCAAGATTGAGCCACTGTATTGGGGGTGGGGGAAGGATTGTGTAAATAAAAGAGTAGGTAATACAATCACAGGAGAGGCTAGAAAAATGTTCAACCAATTTGAAGTCTAGACCAGAACTGGCTATCTATTCTGATCTGTAATATATTTATATTTATTTTTTTCCAACCTCCTCTGGATTTGACAGGAATATCGCTCATTCAGACAAGGCTATCAGCCATTCTCCAGTCAGATAGAATAAAGTTCTGCATTTCAAGTAATAGCTCAAGACTTCTAGAAACACTTTTCAAATGGTTTTCTATCATGTCTTTTTCTTTTTCATCCGAGAAGACTCGAAATAACTCCTCTGAGAACTTCTTGTGGTGATATCATTGAGCAGCTAGAGACTGTAGTGAAAGTTTTAAAACATGTATTGAGAGAGAATTCAAACAGTTTGTTTCCAAAAATACTAAAAATATCATAAAAGAATTAAAATGCCTTTCTTTTTAGCTTAACACTCCTCTCATATCATGTAAAAGATTATTTATTACCAGGAAATCAAAATCAGTGAGGGAGGAAAGGGGTGAGTGATGTGGGTGGGGAGTGGAAACAAGTAATTACCTCTGATTTTAATGTGGGTCCTTTTTCTAGTCTTATTTAGTAATGACTATATTAATCTAGTAATTAGCTGCTTCTGCAGACATCAATTTATTAAATTACATAGAGCCAATTAATAATCTCAATAGATTTTCAATTTTAAGTTCTTTTTGTGTTATTTTAAATATGCCATTATGCTTTATGTCTGGATGCTTTATGTTTTCTTTGCAGTAGACTCTTACTCTCTAAACGGGCCTTTGCCTGAACTTAATGATAATGACAATGTGGGAAATTCCACTAGGATTATGAAGTTTCAAAGTCTATTTTTAGAAATCTATCCGATGCCACCAAATATGTAGATGTTATGACACAGTATTATATTAAAATATAATTGAATGATTTTG